ACAATAGCAATCTTGGTGGTGCTTTTCATCTCCCCCTTTGGATTTGGTGCAGGCAAGTAATATTTCTACTTTTATTTCATCACTTTATACAGAGTATATAAATATATAATACTTCCTCCTCCGTATCTATTTATTTAGCCCGTTTGCTTTTTACGTATGTAGTTTAAGGCGATTAATGTAGATTATGTGTAAAGTAGGAGGTTTTTGGTACTGCAGCGGTACTGTAACGGGGTACTGCACCTGCTTTTAGGGTGGGTTTAATTTATTTCCAAAAGGAAAAATTGAAAATAATAATCCCAACTATTGCCGGTCCGCTGAAAATAATCCCAACTATTGATTATTTTTGTATAATCCCAACTATATAGACTATCCGCCAATAATGGTCCATGACCATATATTACCTCTATAAAAAGTGAATTTTAAATAGAAATTAAGCGTAAAAATTAAAAGTTGAGATTATTTAGAGGGATTACTTGTTATATCTCACCCCATCCACTTTAGAAACTACAAGAATTTATTCATAGGGACCATTATTGGCGGAAGGTCCCTAAAGTTGGGATTATTCTGTAATAATCAATAGTTGGGATTATTATGAGCGGACCGCCAATAGTTGGGATTATTACTATCAATTTTTCCTTTCCAAAAAGGGAATGAGACATTTTTTTGATACGCCCCGAAAGAAAAAGTGGGACAAGTAATTAGATACACAGGGAGCTGAGTATGTGTTATAGGTGAAAGCGAGGCCTATGAGTAGCATACATCCGAACAAAATTAAGATTTAATTCTGGAAATTAATAGTTGATACTAATGAAAATAATAATTGGATCATAAATTTCATTTCGAATCAAAGATAAGGTTGTTCTTGTGAAATAATGGGAAAGGGGTACTCCAATAGGAGTCCTGACAGATATATTTATAATAGAAGAGTTGCCAAAATACAAAGTATTCCTAAACAGATATTAGGCAGATTCCTAAATATCTATTAGGTAGATTCCTAATTATATTAGCCTATTACACCCCCTCAAACTGTGCGGGAGATACAACGCGCAGGTTGTCTTTTAAAAAAATGAAATTGCAAACTAAAAAACAAAACTCTTAGTAAATATATCTGTGAGCGGAAGATTAGAAGGCACATCTTTGACAATAAGATCTCCATGAGAATATATGTCTGCAGCAGCCAGCGGCGAACTCAACAGCGCGCTTGAAGCAAGCACCGTGGTCAGCGACGCAGAGAAGGTGGGCTGCGCGGACATAGGCAGCAGCAGGCGGCGAACTCAACGGCATGCTGGAAGCAAGCACCGTGTTCAGCGACGCGAAGGAGGTGATCTGCGCCATATTAGCCGCGCTCATCTTCAAAGGATTAGAGACTACCGTAAATGTGGCGGCAGTCGACCCTGAGGCGGCGGCGGCTATAATAAGGTTCATGGGAACCGAAAAAAAGAAAAAAAACTGTATCTAAAAACCTAAGCTCTTGATACCATGTGAAATAATGGGAAAGGGGTACTCCAATAGGAGTCCTGACAGATATATTTATAATAGAAGAGTTGCCAAAATACAAAGTATTCCTAAACAGATATTAGGCAGATTCCTAAATATCTATTAGGTAGATTCCTAATTATATTAGCCTATTAGTTCTGGCAGGATTCTCATGAAGCCAATATGAACGCTACTCCTAAAGGGATGATTAGAAAATTGACAATTGCGTAAGTTATATTTATTTCTTGAGTACATGCATAGACATTAATATTGTGCACTATATATGCGACGCAGGATGTTGCGCGGTAGTCGACCACAAAGAATCGGAAGAGCCGCTAGTGCCAGTGGCTCCGCCGATCGCCGTTGACGACATGTGGGGTATACATGGCGGTGGCGGCGCTCCGATGGGGCGGAGGCGATTTGGGGCGTTCGGGACGTGTCAAACGTGCAGATGTTGCCGGACGGCGTCGGGCGACATGTGCACGGAAATGCCATGTTGTTACACTCTCAAGTGCGACCTTCCTAACCTGCCCAATGGGACATGTGCTTTTGCCCCCATCGCTTGCCATTGTGACTCTTGTGGCTAATCAATGCATGCCTCATATCTCAAATCTCAACCAATTAATGACCTCGATCTATATAAATAAGTACATGCATGTTAAAATGCAATGCTAGAAGTTCAATGGAATCCCAAAAACTGAATTCGAATTGTGGGAGGAGGATATATAGTATAATGTTAATTAAGTTTAGTTTGAGAACAATATGATGTGAGACAATCTTGGCTACTATAAATACATTAATTCACCATTTAATTATAACCTCACTCCATGAGTCCATGTGCTTTACATTTTGTAAAATGAGGATTAATTTGTTACGCAAAATAAGAGTTTATTAGACAGTGTTGTTGAATTGACAATGAATTTATACAAGCAAGAACATTGCAAGTTAATTATACATAGAATGGGACCATTCAAACGCAGTACATAATTAAAATGTAATGGTACTAATTAATCTAGCATTTTAAAGTCATTTAAAAAAATAACATACGTAGTCCATAAAATGGGACTATTCAAACGGATCGAGCTTACATACTTTACCCATTTATGATGTTGTTCTGGCTAAGACCGAAACTAGTTCAAATGAAAACATCCTTATTGTAGAGGACAAGTATAAATATTTTTCATATAGTTTTTTCTTTATTTTATTGATAAAATATATTGCAGATATGATCTTTTTTAAAATTCAACAGAATCAATTAATCCAGCTACTTGAATCAAAACTTCATAAATTTGAAGAGAAACATTGGCTTTATCCAATTACCAAAGAGGCTCTAAAAAATATAGCCATATAAGTCACCAACCAACGTTTTTGTCTTCCCTTCGGGAGAGGCAATCATAAAAGAGATTAGTCCAATTTACATCCTCTCATCGTGCCGTCCGGTCGGTGTTGGGGGGCCCTCAGGGATGGGGTGTCATCCTTTTTTTTATAGAAGAGATTAGTTAATTAATTTAGTCGGATAGACGAGACCGGATAATACTAATTAAACAAGTTTACATCAGTAAAATTAGTGCATACGGAGAATAAAATAGGATTTTATTTGACCAACCCAGACCATATATAGATCTGATAAGATGAGATTAGACGAGATCAGACCTAATCAAAATTATATTTTAATAAAAAAACATCTTAAGCTTTAAGTTTGTCATATTTGAGGTATTTCTCTTTAAAAAAACTCTAAATATGATTATTGCCAAAATAAGACTCATTCTCATTTTGAGAGGCTGATTTGTTCTCTTAATAAGATTAAATAAGTCCTATTTCAGAAATAAACATACTTAGTCTAATTTTAAATACTATGTGCTTTAGTTACAGAGGTAAGAATGCGTACATCCGACCCCCCTGCTCCCACCGCAGGTGGGAGCCTTTGCGGCACTGGGGTAAATGAAAATGAAACGAGTCTAACTTTAAATTTTTATCAATGTTTTACCCCTATTTTATATGGAGTACAATTTATTTCCTTATAACTAAAACTTAGCTAAAATACACAATATATAAGCGTACAAGTCTATGTTTTATTCCCATTTAGACCCAAATGGTCATACTAATAGATTTCCGCTCGTGTTGTGTGATTTCTAACGTACTTACGACCCCCCTCTGCAGGGTAATTCACAGGGCCGTCTAATGAATTTAGAGGCCCCGGTTCTAAATGACAAATTTTGGTCCCCCCTAAAATAAGAAAAATACAAATTTTAACAATAGAAACATAAGAAGGTGTATGATGTTTAAAGTACACAAATTAGATAATTCAAAAGTTATATACCTTTTGGAATTTTGAATAGTACATAACATCTAGAAAAATCAACCTATAATAACTTACTACATTCTAAATTTAGCTATAACACCTCCTAAAAGACAACCTTGAATTGGTAATTCACTAGCTAGTTGCACTTGTCATGATATTTCTTCAACATTGGTTTCTTATGTCTGTGTAGTCATATTTATGGTAGTCAATACATTTTTTATGAAAGAAAAGAATTTTTGCATTGATAATTTTTGGGGTCAATATGCCTACTAAATGTTTACTATGTATCTTTTAATTTTCTTTTGTATGGTGGTTAGGGGTAGTTACAAATGCTTCTTACATGAATTTATTTGGTATTTCAGTTAGACGTTATTGCTGCTGATTATAGCAAGTACACACTTTACATGTCGTAGAATGTTTAAACTAAAAAATAAAACATTCAGTTAGTAATTAAAATGCATGAGAATATGAGATGAAGAAACGCGTGAGTAACTAAAAATTCAAAACACACAATTAAAATGCACTACTATATATACCATTGGTAGCTCAAATTTTGCTTGCAAAAGTTGTGTATATTTGTGCATGCCAGTTTTTATTTATTTATTTATTTATTTATCCACGATAACCTATAATCTAATTGAGTTGTGAATTAATTTTAGAAAAACTCCATATATTCCATTATTCCGTATATCGGTATATAACACTTAAACTGTTAAAATGTGTTTTCCCTAATCCCTATATATCTACAAGGCTAGAACTACGAAATCATATGAAAAATGGTAACACTATTTTAATCCTATATAATTTGGATCAAACAAGAACATCATCTGAGCAGAAAAATGAGAATGAATTTGGACCGTTAGCTTTGGAACCACACCCTATACATGTGTAGATTTAGGATCAAGTGAGAAAAACATTTTAAAAGAGAAATGAAAATAAAACTTGAATGTTGAATTTGAGGATTGTGCATTATTTAATTGTCATTTTTTTGTCGTTGCGAAGTGTACATTATCTCAATTAAAAATGTGGAATTTTATGAACTGGAATATAATGTGCATCATTCTCATTTCTCACGGAAGAACCTTTCTCACCGGATCCATACTGTGAAGATATTAGCTGTAGTTAACTGCTAGTTAGTTACCTTCTTTCCGTTAGTCAATCTGTTAGTCATAATAGTTAGTTGTTAGAGTTGAAAGGTTGACTAACCAATTTGTATAAATACTTTTTCTTTACTTCAATGAAGAGATCGGTTTTCTTTCCTTTCTTTGAATTTATGGACCTGCAATATTATGAAGAAAATCATAGAGAAGGATAACCGAAACAAAATGATGGAATTTCTGATAGGATTGGACAATCAATATGAACCTATCAGAAATCAAGTACTAGGAATTGATCCTCTTCCTACTGTGAATCAAGCATTTTTAGGATTCAACAGATTGAAACACAAAAGTCTATCACTGGAAGCTATGCAGACATTTAAGGAGGAATGGCTATGGCAGTGAATAAATTCAGGAGGACTTCAAATAATCAAGGCAACAATGAAGAAAGCAAACCTTTATCTAAGGCTGAGTGTCAAAAGATGAATCTGGAAAAACAATCGTTGCTTTGTACTCACTGTAACAAGATGGGACATATCACTGTAAAATCAGCTATGCAAAACTCAGGAAATAACAACAACATGAAGAAGTTTGCCGGAAATGCAGATTTCAAAGCAACTGAAGAAAATGAAACTCCATTTGATCTGGATGAAACCAAACAGTTCAAGATGCTGAATCAGATTGATCCTCAAATTATTCAGGCATATCTCGCTCAAAGATCAAAGGATTATTCTTATCAAGGAAACAATTCTCTTGAGGTCAGAACATCCTCTTCACATTTCAACCTAACAGGTATGACATATGTTTCTTGTGTTGATATAAAAGAAAGAAATCATGAATCACATGTCTGGATAATCGACACTGGAGCAACAGACCACATGACACATGATTTGAGAATTCTGGAAAATAAAACATATCTGCTAGAACCTAGTAATATTGTTCTTCCAGATGGAAATGTGAAGAAAGTCACATTAATTGGTGATGTTAACCTTTCTGAAGAAATCAGACTTAAGCAAGTGATGTATATGCCAGGATTTCAACACAATTTATTATCCATAGGACAATTATTGAAAAACACTAAGATGACAGTGAATTTCAATAACCATGGATGCTATGTACAGGACCCTACAACTGAGAAGAAGATACATCTTGGAAGAAAGAAGAATGGACTGTACATACTTGAAGCAAATAAAAGGGCAGATGAAGCTGGATCTTCCTCTATCATCCATAAGAACAGTGATAAAAGATTACATTGTTTAGCTAATGAGTCATGTAAAGTTTCCAATACCTTGTTGTTATTGCATAATAAACTTGGTCATTCTTCTTTGTCAAAACTACAACATATTGGATTTGGAAGTAATGAACATAGTTTGTTTTATGAAACTTGTATCATGGCAAAACATCATAAGCTGCCTTTTGAAAGAAGTGTTTCAAGTGCTTCTAAGATTTTTGATACATATAGATCTATGGGGACCCTATAAGTTGAAGTCAATAACTGGAGCCTCCTATTTCTTAACTTTACTTGATGATTGTAGTAGAAATACTTGGACATATATGCTAAGAGACAAAACTGAAGTTCCCATTATAATTCACAACTTTGTTGCTTATGTGGAAACTCAATTTGAGGAAAAGGTGAAGATAATTAGGTCTGATAATGGGACTGAAATAGTTCAGTCCACTTGCACAAAGTTTTTTAATGAGAAAGGGATAGTTCATCAAAGAAACATTCCTGGAAATCCACAACAAAATGGAAGAGTTGAAAGGAAGCACAGACATCTCCTAGATACTGCAAGAGCCTTAAGGATTCAAGCAAATTTACCTAATTTTTTCTGGGGAGAATGCATACTCATTGCCACACATCTAATTAATCTCATGCCCTCTTCCATTCTTAAATGGAAATCCCCTTATGAAGTGATGTTTAAAAGACAACCAGATTATGAGACATTGAGAGTGTTTGGCTGCCTTTGTTTTGCTGCTACAAAGGATACAGACAAACTATCTCCTAAAGCTCATAAATGTATCATGGTTGGATATCCTTTTGGCCAGAAAGGATATAAAGTTTATGATCTTGAATCCAAAAAAATAATTGTGAGCAGAGATATTGTGTTTAAGGAAGACATTTTTCCTTTCAAGCATACACAAGTTGAAAAGCCACCTAATACTCCCATTATTAATCCTTCTAGATTGATCTTGGATAAACCACCAAGAGAGACTCCTCAAACAGAACAGAATAATTCATTTCAAGAAGACCCTCCAATGGGCAATTTTGGAATACCTGAATCAAATGATTCTGAAACTTTAATTTCCCAAAGAAAGACTACAAGGACCAGGAACATTCCTCACAAACTGCAAGACTATGTTTGCAAAGACATACCAAGATCTTTGATTTCATCTACAACAACAAGGATTGATAACAACTCACATCTGGCAAACATGATCTGCTCAAACTTACAAAACTTCACAGAAGAATATATAGCCTCACTTGCAAATGTGTTATCAATTCATGAGCCTGTTTCCTATAAACAAGCTAAGGAAGATGAAAGATGGGTGAAAGCAATGGAACAAGAACTTGAGGCACTTGAAAAGAACCAAACATGGGAATTGACCTCACTACAAGAAGGAAAGAAAGCTATTGGAGCCAAATGGGTATACAAAATAAAATTCAGGCCAGATGGAACAGTTGAACGATTTAAAGCAAGATTAGTAGCTAAAGGCTACAATCAAATCAAAGGAAAAAATTTTAAACACACTTTCAGTCCAGTAGCAAAGTTTACCACAGTACGTGCAATAATTGCTTTAGCAGCAGCAAAGGGTTGGCTGATACATCAATTAGATATAAATAATGCATTTATGCATGGATTTATTGATGAGGAGATCTACATGAAAATCCCAGATGGGTATCATAACGCAAAAGCTGGACAAGTATGCAAGCTTAAAAGATCCCTATATGGATTAAAGCAAGCATCAAGACAATGGAATCTTGAGCTCACAAAATTTCTAGTTCAACTGGGATTTCAACAATCAAAGCAAGATTACTCATTGTTCATCAAATCAAAATCAAACACATTCACAGTTCTACTGGCATATGTGGATGATTTACTGATCATTGGAAATTCAAAGGAACAAATTGATCAGACAAAGAATGCATTAGATAAAGCTTTTACAATCAAAGATCTTGGTATGCTTCGTTATTTCTTGGGAATAGAAGTGGCAAGAAATGAACAAGGTATCATCCTTAATCAAAGAAAATACCTCCTGGATATTTTACATGATATCAAGATGAGTGATTGTAAACCCGCACAATTCCCTATGCCTACTGGAATAAAACTCTCTGCTGATACAAGTGAGCTACTTCATGAACCAGAACAATACAGAAGATTAATTGGAAGGTTTTTATACCTAAACTTGACAAGACCAGACATTTCCTACACTATACAACAACTAAGCCAGTTCATGAATGAACTAAGGATAAGCCATATGCAAGCAGCATTGTTCCTTGCTCATTATCTCAAGCACACCATTAATCTTGGTCTTTTCTATCCAACACAGTCATCACTTGAATTATCTGCCTTCTGTGATGCTGATTGGGGATCATGATTCATGACAGGAAGATCCCTATCTGGCTATTGCATCTTCTTAGGAAAGTCTCTCATTTCCTGGAAGACAAAGAAACAAAAGACAGTAAGCAAATCAACTGCAGAATCTGAATATAGGAGTATGAGTTATACTGCAGCAGAAATTGTTTGGCTTGATGGGTTGTTTACAGAGTTAAAGCATGAGATTCCAAAACCTATTTCACTATATTTTGATAATATGGCTGCCCAACATATAGTCCAAAATCATGTTTTTCATGACAAAACAAAGCATCTAAGAATTGACTGTCATTATGTGAGAGAAAGATTTCAGGAAGGGCTTTTGGAACCTAGATACATATCTTCTGGTTCTCAGCCTGCAGATGTTTTCACAAAGGCTCTAGGAGCAAAGCATCATCAGCTATTTGTTTCCAAGTTGGGACTTTTGTCAACTTCCAAAATCCAACTTGAGGAGGGGATGTGAAGATATTAGCTGTAGTTAACTGCTAGTTAGTTAGCTTCTTTCCGTTAGTCAATCTGTTAGTCATAATAGTTAGTTGTTAGAGTTGAAAGGTTGACTAACCAATTTGTATAAATACTTTTTCTTTACTTCAATGAAGAGATCGGTTTTCTTTCCTTTCTTTATTCTCTTATCTTACTTCCAGAAAGTTCACACATACCCTCTGTATGCGTATATACTTCCTCCTATCCAATCTTTTTAATTGCAACATTATCATTTTCATGTTTTTCATATAGCTCATTATATAAGATATAAATTGTGTCAAACTTAGGTTTGAAAATTGGGGAATATGCTTCACATGAGGATCTTGGCTGCCCTTGGAGGGAGTTGGAGCCCTAGAAGCAGCAGCATAATAATTGTGCATATGTTCGTAAATGTGTCAATTTTTTGGTAAGTACGCAAAAGGGGATGGCGGTTGGGGAGAAAGCTTTCGATCTTGAACTCAATCACTTTTGAACCCAGGATTCATTCCCAAGGCTTGCATTAACATACCAGCAAATTTGTAAAGCATGTATATCGACAACTTGAAGGAAATCATTCAAATTTGATACAAACATCATGGGCCATGATGGCCATGATGACATGATGGGGCTGATGTATTGGTAAAAAATCTACTAACTAATTATAACAATTAACAATTGTATATACAACGACTCAATGATTTGATCACCTAGTCTTTTTGTTGGGGAAAACACGACCCCCGACCTCTTCCAGGATCACTAACTCAAAGAACTCTTGTAGGCTCAATCACTCATAATGCAAAGAATTCATTTGACAATATCACTTTGTATTATACTATTGAAATGTACAACAGATTTTACAAATAAACAAGTAGCTCACATCACTCTTTGTATATGAGATTACTTCACTCTCACACCCTCTCTTAAAGAGACACTCATTCACTCAAGATCTCTCTTCAAGGCTCTCTCATCACTTAAGGAGGCTCTCACAAGACTCTCAATCTAGGCTCACTTCATTAGGAATGCAGAGTTTGACCCCTATTTATACAAATCTCCTCAATGCTTCTCTAGAACTTTTTATACACTATTGCACTTCTAGACTATTCTTAGAAGTATCCACAGGCTTCTCCAATCTTCTAGAAGGATCTAGAGAACTCTACGCTGCTTGAGAATGTTCTAGAGGCTTTCACACACTTCCACACAATTCCAAAGAATTCCACACTTCTCTAGAAAACTCCACTATGTTCAAGAATATTCTACCATTTTCCATTCAATACGTTTCTACACACATCTAGAGAATTCTAGACATCTTCGCAATATTCTAGAATTATCATGAACTTCTCAATTAAGGAGGGAACTCAACACTTCTTACTGTGATAATGGTATAGAGATCTGATTCCCCTGCGGCTCCAAAGCTTATAATGAACTCTCAAATGGAAAATGGTGACTTTCCTTAATTACCAGGTAACCTCGATGCCTTCCTACAATCGTGCAATGTAGCATCAAGAAAGATTAAGTTGCTATAAATATTATTTGAAATTAATCTTCATTTTGTTGCAGGAAATTACACGAGTTTCATGAGGCATTGCATGTTGCACTATGCATTGTATATTTGTATAGAATGATATATCCTTTATGGGTTTTAGCTGAATATCGAAAGAGGTTGCCTTTACCACCATCATCCACAAATATCTGAACTGTTATTCAACTTCATTTGTTTCAATATCATCAGAGGAATGAATCTGTCGAGTCGGTTATTTGATAAGTCAACAATGCTTTTTTACCGCAAGCCATGAATCCTTTATGTTTGCATACTTTCTTTCTACATTGAAGAGATCCATTGATTACAAAAGAAATTATATACATCTTTGTTGTAAACTTACAAGTTACAGGAAACATTCAATTGTGGGGAAAAACAAACTTATCTACCATCTCTCGACATTCAACGCTTTCTTTTACTAGTCATTGAACACTTAGCTTCTTAATAAAATTTGAATTGGATACCCAAGTGCAAACAGAAATGGACAAAACCATGATTTTCTCAACCCGAGAGATTGTACCATCTATTAATACACCCCATATCGTTGCATTGTTCAATAAGCAGAATGCATCGGGATTCATTTGATAAGAAGTAGCTCATAAAGAAGCATAACAGGAGAGGAAGCGGTCCGGCCCAGCTAGTCGCCGACTCACTCTCTCTTATGGGAGGCCCCGAGTTCAATTTTCAATGGAGTGAGATTGATCCTAGGCCCCCCAAACCCCCCTCCCCCGACGCCCCCTGGGGTATTAAAAAAAAAGGAATCAAAGGCAAGCAAGTTCAATCAGTAGCTGCCATTTAAGGAAAGAGAGCAACAAACTTAACCACATCTATTAATCCATGTGTCTAGGCATGGATATGGTCCTGTTTCGAGCCGGTTCTAGTACTTGAAAGAGAGTTACGAACTTAGCCACACCTATTATCAAACATTTTTATAAACATCCAATACTATCACTTAGCCACTTAGGCATGAGCACAGTCCCCGTCTGGGCCAATTCCGGTCCCAGACCGGTCGATAACAAAATTAATAGTGAGGCCTTGGACCAGGACCTCTATTTATGTTTCCGGGCCGATTTTGATTTACACATTGGTCCCAGTCCAATCTCAATTTCCTTTATTTTTTCTGTATTTTTGAAACCTTTAACCCCCCAATCCCCACCCCTATGTTTTTTTGGCTTTTAAATGGACTTCATGATGTCTTGTACTATGAAAGAAAATGAAATGAGATGGAAACTGAATATCAGTCATGACTCACGATCCCAAAAGGTGAGGCTCGAGACCAGTCTCTTACCTGCAATTCCAGTCTCAATCCTGCCCCAAAACCTTAATTTCAAGCCCGATTAAGTGACCATATCAACTAAAACAATCGTCTATCAAGTATCAACTATCAACTACCAATTAACAACTAATTACCAAACATGCATTTGACTTGATAAGTGATGTTATATGATACATTGAATAACAGAACTCGATAACAGACCGATACCAAAACAAAGTAACTGACGGTATACTTGAAGCATAACTCAAAAAGAAATGTGTGGAAACAGACACAGTGATCATATTTAAACAATTCAAAGGTACAGAGCTAGATCAATTTAAAAATTTAAATAGATAAGAGTACAAAACAAGGGGGCCACTCGGCTGCAAAATACAAATAATGATCATAAACCAAACTTTAAAAAAAAATGCTAAACGAAATTGATCACTTCACCCTTCTCCTTTTACCACCGGAGGAATCTCTATTTTTGTTGAACGATCGAAAATCATTGGTAGAGTCGGCAGTGTTTTGCTTCTTCCCACCTTTCTGCCCACCAAAACCAAATTTGGAGTTCTTAAATTCCCTACCCTTTGGCTTTTTATCAAAACCTCCCTTTTTAGTGTTCCCACTACCAAATCTGCCCTTCCCTCCCGAACGGTCACCAGGGGCCACCCCTGGCCTGTTTTTACCAGATCGCTGGAAAACCTTACCATTACCATCTTCAAAGTCTAAATCGAGTTCAGCTTTCGCATCTTTGTCAAACCCACTCTGCTGCCTTTGTTTCCTCCACTGCTTGACAGACTCAATATCATGTTTCTTCTGCTGAGCCCTTTCTTTCAGTTTCTGAGCCTGCATTTCTTTAGCTATTTTCTTGTTCTCCCTAGCCTTCTTCCTTTCCTCCGCTTCCTCAATCCTTTTCTTTTCTGACAACAGGCGGCCCTTAACTTTTTCCATATGGACGTCAGATTTCACCATTTCAGCATAGTAATCAGAGGGCCTCAAAAATGGAAGCCCGGCGGATTGAAACTTGAGATAGGCTTCCCGTGTCCCTTGCAAGGCCTGTGTGTAGAATGCAAGCTCTCGTGCCAAGTCATCATTCACGTCCACTTCTTCTCCCTCTTTGTCTATGTCAAACGAGAGTCTGTGTATCCAGTCCACTTTTTCAGGCCAGCTGATGTCTCCAAGCTTGTCGAGCAACCCATTCTTGTTGTAAACAGCATCCTTTGAAGGTTCAGCCAATTTCACAGCTGGGTCATCGTCTTCTTCTTCTGAACCAGATTCAACTTCAGTCTCCTCTTCAGGATTCTCCATCTCAATATCCTTCATTTATAGAAACAACAAACAATTAAGTAATCAAAAAAATTGAAAATCCCCGCTTTGAATGTGAGCTGAAGTTACAAAAACTGTCTCCGAGATTTTGTTCTTTGTACCGTATACAATACTAAAGCAGAAGAATACATAACAAAGTCATCAAACAACAAATGGCAGAATAAGCAGTTCCCCAATGATTGAAACAAGTCTAAATATAGACAAGAAACCAGGGGCGTAGCCAGGAGTAAGAGTTGGGCTGGGCAGGTACAAATAATTTCTACAAATAAACTTTTACACATAAATTTTTACACTAAAAATATAAGCAATTTTAAAATTTGGGCTGGGCCATGGCCTGGTTGACCACCCCTCCACCTCCGCCCCTGCAAGAAACACTACCAAGATTTTAATACATTGCATAAACAATGTTCCAATTCAGTAAAAAACTAAAAACAAATCAGAAACAATTAGGCAAGTGGAAGTGAAAACAAAAGACACACAGCCTTGTTGGACTTCTTTGGTTGAATTATTCAGAACCATGAATGGTTTTGGTTGGATGGGCCTGGGATCAATTCGGTTCTATTTAAAATCTAGTAAAACCATTTTAAGGAACATAGTTTTTCAATTCGGTTCAGTTGTAATTAAAAAAAATGAACCGGACGAGGCCAAAACGGTTCCTCCTAACATGAACACAGTTTAACTTCTGCTACATAAAAGTATTCAATGTTCAAATCAATAAAAATAAAAACATTGTATAAAAAGTTTGTCATAGTTACATCTCTTCCATTATTCAAAAAAAATCTCAAAGTTGGGGCAATTATATACATCCACTAAATCTCATCAAAGTTATGGCCATATATTATAATACTAAATCTCATCTAGAAAAGGTAAGCAAACCAGATAAGAGTCTTTAAAAAGGAATAACTGTTTGGCTCAGAACCGTTTGATATAATAAGAAAATATATATTAATTCATAGTTTCAAGTACGGTTCTGAAGATTTAGTTTCAAATTAATAATTGCCCTAATTGACATTTTTGCCTACTTGCAAACTTCTGAAAATAGTTTTGATTCAAGAAATGGTGTAGGGGCAAATCAAATGTTGAGAAAAGAGCCACACCTTGACCAATCAAAGAACAAGCGCTATTAGTAAATAAGTATAAACAAATAATAAAAGGACCAGCAACAACATTCATTCTGAGATAGCCACTAGCCAGGCTGAAAGAACAAATATAATTATAAACTAATAATAAATATGAAGGTGGACAAAATAACTATAAACAAATATTTATCACAACTCAACACATTTTATGCACTCCATTCGTTTAAGCAAAACTATAGAATCAAATTGAACTTTAAAGCTGTTAATAACTAGAGTTATACAAAGTACTACTGTTTTTATTCCAACAAACTAGAGAAAGTTAGCCTATACAAAAACATCTAAACAGAGAGGAGATACCACGCCACTATATTAATCCCTAGATAAAGTTCAAACTGAAAAAGATAACCATACTACGATAGAGATAAATAATAATAACACACCATATATAACAGGAATAAGAGAGCGCCCGGACGTGTTAGATAAAAAGAGATGAAGCCGTTTCCACAGGTTCAGAGCTTCAACGTCGAAGCTTGGAAGAGTAGATATTGCGGAGAAGATTCCTTGAAGAGGTCGAGCAATCGATTATTCAAAGTGGCAATAGAGCGGCGGAAGACTCCTTCGATTATTTGAGAAGTAACCTTCTGGTTAGGTTAAATCAAGGTCGATGTTCAGAACTTTATTCCCTGTTGTTCATTGGCAATTACTTGAAATAAATTAAATATCTCAAAATGTTTGAAGAAGTGAGATATGTGTTCTAAATTTGCACATATAATACATACTTTAAACTTTATATAAAAAGTTAATTTAACACATGATCATATATTTTTTACAAATGTATTTTTGTAGTATTAAGTACATAATTTAAAATATACAAAACATTTATGAGGATGCAATTAAAATTAAATTGTATCGAATGTATATTATTTATTTCACAAATGAAATTTTAGAATGTTAATTGCATTCTAACAAAGTTTAGAATATTTTAAATTATGTAATTATTCAAATAAATATGTATTTGTAAAAAACATACAATGATGATGTGAAAATAACTTTTTATATGAAGTTCGAGGTATATATACCAGTATTACATATGCAAGTTTGGGGTACTTATCTCACACCTCATCAAAGTTTGGGATGTTTAAATTATTTTCCTCTACCCTATGTCCATATAAGCATGTTTTTAATTAGACAAAATTATGATTTGATATGGTCTTTTTAGACAAAAATTTTTTGAATACCCATCAAAGTTTGGGGTATTCAAATCTGATCTGGACTAGTATGATAAATGTCTTATTTATGTGTATTCTATAACTGTTGGAGTATGATTTGTTTAAGTCAGGCCTGATCTATTTAAGAATGATGTCTTCTAATATGGTCTCGCACTAAAACAGTCCAAATAAAAACAATCAACATTTGTTCCTAGATGTTACCTTTTTTAGAAACAGGACTGAAACATATACATATTTTAGGAATAGAACTTAACAATGCATAAGTCAATTTTTTAAAAATCCCAACTGGTGATATCGATTTGGATCAGTTTCCATGAGTTTTACGGTTTTAAGTATTTCTTTACTTGGACTGTTTACAGTCCTAAACCAGATAGAATAAATCAAACTTAAACATACTAGATCAGGCCATACCAAACTATGGCAGACTTCGACAATTGTAAAACACATGGAGACCGGATATCTACCAGATCAAATCAGACTTTAACAAACCGTACCGGGTAGAACCATGGAACTATATTGTCAATCTAAAGCAACCATTTGAGTTCAGTAAGGATTTTCTTGTCGAAAGATCGGTTAGCTCATAATTTAGTTTTGACAAAAATAAAAATAAGGTGGAATGAAAGGATTAAAGTTGTTTTCTTTTGGACCGTTTTCAGTCTCAGACCAAATCAGACCAGATCAGACTTCCATAGTTATAAAATACACGGAGACCAGATATCAGACCAGACAAACAAATTTCAGTCCAAAAGAAACATCCTAATTAGATGTTTGGGAACTTAAATGTGGTAAAGCGTTTTCTACTTTTGATTTTCAACTATCAATGCAACTTTGATTGTGGGTTAAAACCCTATTGAGATATATTCAAAAGTTGAAAGGCTAAGGGCATGTTTGGTACGATGTAAAATAAACACTTTGCACGTAAAGTGTGGAGAAGTAAATATTTTACACTGTTTTAATTATTTTGTACTGTACCATGTAAAATATTTTACCTAAGAAAAGGGTGGTAACTGTTTTACATTGGTCAATACCGATTATAAAATACGTCCAACTCCTTATTTTACGATTTAACCCTATTTATTGACAATTGGAGTGTGGCGGCAGAAATAACTGGATACGTCCAGTTGGAGAGAGATAGAGAGGAGGAAAATTATGGTGGCGTATGCTAGTGAATAAAATAGAGAAAAATGTAGAGATAAATAGGAAGAAAAAAAGAAATGGAGGCCATCAAAGCTTATCTCATTATATCATACATGTATGTATACATAATAATGAAAAGTATGCTCTTTACTTATACTCTATGAAGAGTATATATAAAAGATTTTTTTATCATATTTGCTATGTAGTCTTTTACAAACTAACAACGAGTTTGCGTGTAATTTAATAATAGATTACACACATAATCAAACAATGTATTTTTATTTTACATGTAAACTATTCATCGTTTTAAACTTTGCATATAGAGTTTTAATGCGTAAAGTACACGTTAGTTAGGATGTTTTCTTTTGGACTATTTTCAGTGTCAGGCAAGATTTCCGTAGTTATAAAATACACAAAGACCAGACGTTTACCAGATCAAACCGGACCAGCAAATTTCGAACATCTGTTTCAGGGAGGTTTAATTTTCTCGAACATACTACTTTTATTCATATTGGCCTACCTATATCTCTGGGTAGCTTCATGAACCAGACAACAATGAGAAAATGGAAACTAATAATCCAACTTTTTAGCAGTCTTCTTACAATAGTCCCACCTTTTGATTATTCATGAATAATCCAACCTTTGCACCTCATCTTCATTCACTGGTCCCTGACCGGTTGATGACCTGCTATTCCAAGTTATTTTCTTATCTTTGCAAAATATTATCTTTGTGAAAGGTGAGATTTATGGTATAATGGTTTGCAAAGATAAGAAAATAACTTGAAATAGTAGGTCATCAACCGGTCAGGGACCAGTGAATGAAGATGAGGTGTAAAGGTTGGATTATTCATGAATAATCAAAAGGTGGGACTATTGTAAGAAGACCGCTAAAAGGTTGGATTATTAGTTTCCATTTTCCCGACAACAATTCAGTCTTTATCTCATGCACAGGTCGGTTGTTAATAGCAAACAAAATCTCATTCAACCCATGTTGTGTTTGTAAAATGATCATTAAAATTCAACATAGCATTTCATTTACCCTTGGCGAATCATCGCTCACACCCTTGCATTATAAAAAATGTACTTTTACCCCCTCCCTATCCTCTGATGATGGTTGAGTAACTTTTAATTTACGTTTAGAGAATTATAAACATAGTTCCTGTAACTTTTGATTGTGACCACTTTGATTGGATAAGTAATAAATTTATGCACACTGAAGACTCTTCCATCGGAAATCGAACTTGATGAAACAAAAAATGATCAAACCTTACCTCACTCTAGATAGTTCACATCCAAAGACATAAAGCGAACTATCTAGAGTAAGTCGGTTTTGATCATATATTGTTGAATTAAATTTGATTTCCAAGGGAAGGGTCTTTATTAATTATTATAAACAAATTTATTAATTATACATATCAAATATGTAGTTCAATAAAATTCAACATTAAAAGCGGACACAATGAAAAGTTACAATACTATATCTATAATTTATCTAAAGTAAATTAAAAGTAGCTTAACCATCATTAAAAGATAATGAGGGGATAAGAGTGCATTTTTTACAGTGCATGGGTGTGAGTAATAGATAATTTCCCTATTATTAATTTCCAAAGGGGGTCATAGATAATTTCCCAAGGGGGTCATAGATAATTTCCCTATTATTAATGGGGAGCACTCTTTCATATTAGAGGCAAGACAACTTTGTACTGGAGAAAGTGTTCATGTGACATAAAACTTGGAACCATTTGAAAAGTTAAGGCAAGAGGAATTGTTCTTTGAGTGTGTGGCCACAAGGGTAAGTTTTTGTACATCAGTACACCTGATTTGATATGGTCCAAAAGCTCCAGAATGTTATCTGCGGAGCCAAACATGTCGATTAGAGGCAATTCACCACGTTGCTGAGATGTATGACGAAGGAATACCTCAACCTAAATATGCCAGTCTCAATTCAGTTTACTGAGAAATGACAAATATAAGAATCATGAATACACAAGGATGAGGGTACTGGAATATCATCACTCTGGCCTTTATAGGTTTAGAAGACATCACTTAACGTCTTTGATTCAGTCAGCCTTGTCATGGAAACTATTCCTGTCAGTGGGAAACAGACAGTGTTAGATTCTTAGCATTTGTGCAACATACCCTTATTACCACTAAAATAACATAAATACTTGCAAATCTACCTTTTGGGTCATCAGAACCTCCATGGCAACATTCAAATCTCCATCAGCAGCTTTTAGAGCAACCTCAACTTGTGTCTGGGAAAAATAACACCAACCACAAGAGAGCAATAGGATTCAGATGCCTACCTTATCAAAACACATTGCAACCAGTTTCTAAATGTCTTCATCTGATGTAACACGGCCCTAGTTTGGTTTTAAGGTAATGTCATACTGCGTATGTATTACTTGTAAGCCTGAGATATGAAGAAGCGAAGAAATGGTTTATTTGTTTGTTTGTCTATGTTGCCAACTTTTCCACCACACAATAGCTGAGGGATTTGCACTGCTGCAGCTGTATTCACGGCTTGTAGCCTGAAAGTTGAAGCAGTACTGGAATGATTTGTAAATTATAACTGAAACTCAAAACCATATTATTTTGAAGCATTGATCTATTAAAGATTGTTAAAAAGCAGCAAACTACATAGAAAAAGAATAGAAATAATGACTAAAATAATACTATTAGGTATTGTAAAGACAAAAATAAGGCTGTTTTTAAATCTGGACAAAAAAGAGACCTATTATATGTAAAGGGACACAAATACCCTCATATATAAAAGAATAATAAACCCTAAAATTTCACTCCTTTCCTCCTGCTTGTTGTCCGATGTCCGCTGCTATCTTCCGAACCAGCGGCAGCCGGCCACAAATGACAGAACGAAGGAAGCAAAGGCTTGCTTTGGCCTTGGAATCCGCTGCCGTCACCAAGCCACCGCCCAGGAGCTGCCGCCGCCACTGTTTCTCCTCAATCGCTGCCGCCCAACTTCAATCGCGGTCGTCGTGCTTCAATCGCCGCCGCCCTGCTTTAATCGCCGCTGCCCATCTTCAATCGCCGCCGTCCCGCTTCATTCACTGCCGATGGAGATCCTGCTGCAGATCGCCAGCTCCACCATTTATTCCCTTTCTTCATTTTTCTCTCCAATGTCCGTCGATGGAGGCAATGAGGACACGGCTGCGTTAGGTTAATGGCGATGACAGCTAGGGTTTCAGAGGAGGGATGCGCGGCTGCAAGGGTTAAGCGGAGGGGGAGGGATTGGGGCGATGCTGGTGGTTCGCAGAAGCAGGTAGTATGCCTCGTTGGGCGGCGATTCTACAGACGGTTAGGGTCGATGGACGGGGGGCTGGCGGTGGCTGGGGTTTGGTTGGGCTTGGGGCAGGGTCACAGGGAAGGCAGGGGTGGGGCCGTGAGGGCTGAAGAGTTGGGAGGGGGCTGGGTAAGGTAGGGGACTTGACGGGTTAGTGGTCACTGGCCGGCGACGGAGGTAGTTGTGTCCATGGCAGAGGTCGTTGTGGAAGGCCGGGGTGACTGTATGGCGGATGAGGTCACTGTGTTCGGCGACAGAGGTCACTGTGGACAGCGACGGAGGTCACTGTGGACAGCGACATAGGACACTGTGGACCGACGGCGGAGGTCACTGTGAATAGGCGGTGGAGGTCATTGTTGACTGGCGGCGGAGGTCACTGTTGACTGGCGGCAGAGGTCAATTGACTGGGGCGGAGGTCACTGTTCACCGACTACAGGGGTCACTGTTAACCGACTACGGAGGTCACTGTGCACCGCTGGCGGGGTCACTGTTGGCCGGCTACCGGAAGTCACTATTGGCCGGCGGCCGGAAGTCACTGTTAGCCGGCGGCCGGAAGTCACTGTTAGCCGGCGGCCGGAAGTCACTATAAGCCGGCGGCCGGAAGTCACTGTAAGCCGGCGGCCGGAAGTCACTGTAAGCCGGCGGCCAGAAGTCACTGTTGACCGGCTGCCGGAAGTCACTGTAGTTGATGTGTCAGTGCTATAACTACTCACCACTCCCTGTGACGTTGATCCTTAATAATACATCAAGTGGCAGGGGTATAATCGGCTTCTTAAGTATATTTAGTCTCTGTTACGGAAATTTAAAAACTAAGGTCTTTTTTTGTCCTTTTGTTTATTTTTAGTAATAACTTGGTCTTAACCCCAAAAGAATATGATGCATGAAAAAAGCACATGCAAAAATCTATAAAGCAGTGACTTAATTTTTCAGCCATTAAGTCGTATTTACTTCTGACTTAATTAAAAGCATGACTTAAGCATTCAATCAAAAAATTGACTTAATCATTAAGCTGGAAAATAGTAGTCCTTCCTATTAGACGTCTACTAAGACACCTTTTTTGTCAAATTTTTTAATTCGATTGTGAAATAGATTTATGTTAATAAATGAAATTTCTCATTAACATCATTGCCCAAGAATAATAATAAATTGATTATTTTACTCAATTTAGACTGTTTATTCAACACACAAAATAAACAACCTCATATACAAATACCACTTAATCATCTTAATCCAGATAGACGTCTTAATCCAGAGAGGACTTAATAGAAAAAAAAAGAAACCAACCCCTAATCTGGCAAGAGAAGAATGGGCTAACTACATACACAGAAATTAGACTGATATTTTTTACTTTCAAAGCAGCATTGACACTTTCAAGGGTATAAAGTGCCCAATGTGTTGCTTGCTTGCTTGAGTACTTATATAACTTTTCATCGCCCAATAAAAGCAGCCATGAATAAATGTCATTTCATTTTCATTTACCCCAGGGCCGCCGCAAAGGCTCCCACCTACGGTGAGGTAAGGGGGGTCGGATGTAAGCAGTCTTACCCCTGTACTAAAGCATAGAGAGACTATTTCCGGATCACCCATAGTGAAAATCGCGTCAAAAATTGCATGGATTGACTGCTGCTTCATAAGAAAGAAGTGCAGACAGTTTAGTAAACCATTTTGTTTTATTCCATCATATTCTCAAGCCAAAAAAATCATCTTTGGCTTCATTGCAAATGATGGAAAAGCCTTGAATAAATGTACAAAAAAAATCATATTGGACCAAACCAAACTTAAACAAATCAAACTAAAGCACTAGACCAAAGAAACATCATGTAAATAATAAAATACATGTAATATCAAACCAGAACACAATAGAGATGTACGAACCGGAAAATTCCAGTCCAAATGAACATGCTTGAAAACTTTTAAGAATCAATCATGCTATTCATCCCAAAAAGAAAAGCCGTGTTCTCTTGTGACTGCTCTACTTTCAGGTTGTCGCAAAAAATCCTTTCCTCTATCACTTTTTTGGGGTTTTGTTCTAGTTTTGTTTACTGGGTTACTAAAACACCCTGTGTTCTCCTCTGAACTTGTCACCGATAGCCCTGCTGCTTGCCTACTAGCAGCCCAAGCCTGAAGCATTTTTTCAATCTTTGGTTCTGGTAATAAATCTTTCTCTTTCATCTCCAAATAGTATCTGTTTGCATCCTCAAGCCTTCCATTCAGAAAGAGTCCATGTATCAGCACAATGTAAGAGCTTCGGTCAGGATCAAGCCCATTCTTGATCATATCAGTCCACAATCTGAAAACACTATCAATTTTTTCCCAACGGCAGAATTTCCTAATCAGCATGATGTATGTATCATGTGTTGGCTGACAGCCCATTACATGCATGTTATTCAAGAGTTCAAAAACTTCTTCTTCCATCCTCATGATTCGAAAGAAAGCATGGTAAGTTCGTACAGTTGGGGTTATGCCTCGTTGTGTCATCTCATTAAATATCTCCTTGGCTTCATGTGACAGACGGTGCTTACAAATGGGCATGATCAATGAGTTGTAAGTGACCACATCAGGAGATATACCCTTCTCTTCCATCGACTTCATTACATTCCGAGCTTCTTTCATCAGCTTTCCCTTAGCAAGAGCATGAATTACTGCATTGTATACTTTCCTATCAGGGCTAATACCATGTCCTTTCATTTGGTCAAAAAGCTTGAGCACTCCATTGAGATTAGTAGACTTTGAATAGCTAGACATGATGCTGGAATATGAGAAAACATCACGGGGAATCCCCATCTCCTTCATCAGCCTCCAAATTCTCTTCCCTTCACGAAGGTCACCAACAATATTACACCATCCATTGAGAATGATATTGAAACTCTTGGTATTCAAACCATACACTTCTTTGTTCGCAAACAGCAAGTGTTCAGCATCACTTACATTCTTGTACCTACAAAGGGCAGAGAGGAAGTTCTGGAATTCCTCTGTTCCTATTTCAAAGTTAAACCGCTTGTGTGCATACAATGTACTGATAGCTTTTCCAACCTCATGAACAGCACAATATTTCCTTATCATGATCAAGAGTGTCTGTGGAGTAACTAGAGACGGTCCATTCCTCCCACCCCTCATCTCATCAATTAATGCCCATGCCGTGTCAAACTTCCTCATTTTCCCAAGTATAGCAATCATGGAGTGGAATTCACGCACAGAATGTGAGTAGCCTGGTTGCTTCCCAGCCCAAAGAAAAAATGTGAATGCCAATTCCCAGTCATTACGAACCCTAGAAATGACATCCGATACTAGCTCAGGCACAACCTTTACATGACATTCCTCAAGCTGCTTATTCACTTGAGATGCATTTGCCCCTGGATTTCGTAAAATACCCATTATTCTTTCGAGACTTCCAGTTAAATAATTTCGGCTTCCGTGGACTATAGGTCCACCATTGTCTTCATCACTATCACTACAAGCTTCATATTTGGTATGACCATCTTTATTGTCCAAATAAGGGACTTCCAATTGTTTGTTGCTCAGGGAAGTAAAAGAGGAAGAAAAGACTCCAAAGGTAGGAAACCCTAACCTGAAAGACCATGATGAATCATCGTCCAGTATTGATGGTGACTGGGGAGTTACGAAATGATTAGTGAAGTATTGAGGTAGAGCCAGATGGTTTAATGGATAAGATGGACCAAATCGGTGAACTCCAACCAAGAATATGGAGAGCAACCTTTTCCGCCGGCAAAACATGACTCATTTATTGAAATTGCAGCCAAACTCTATCACCGCCAAGGTTCTCTACAGGCTCTGTTAGCAAAACGAGAGAATCTGTGTTTTGCAACCGAACAAGGTCAAAACTGATCAGTTTTTTCCCTTTTCAGTTCCTATAAATACAGCAATCTTCCTAAATGAACACAGTTTAACTTCTGCGACATGAAAATATTCAAATTGCAAATCAATAAAAATAATAGAACTTGTATAGGCATTTGGTCAAAGTTACGGCCATTACACACATCTAGAAAATCTCAAAATTGCGCCCATTCCACAGATCCAAAAAATCTCAATGTTACGGCCATATACTGTAATATAAAATCTGAACTAAAAGAAATAAGCAAATAAGATGAGAGTCTTTAAAAAGGAATAATCTTTTGGCCCACAGCCTCTTGATAATACTAGCAATAATAAATTAATTCATAGTTTCAACTGCAATTTTGATAAGTTACTTTCAAAATAATAAGTCACTACAACATTTTATGGCAATGGCACCACCAAATTTTTTCAAACCCATAAAATTGTTTCTTAATGCTATCATAGACTACATTTTTTTAAAGTGCTGCTGAAGTATATAATTTTTTGTATTTTTAAAATACGACAATAAAATAGCGTTCCTAAAGAGTAATCGGCAACGTTTTTTTTAATGAGTTTTCCACACTTTAAAATTGTTGCCCTTTAATCTTGTAAAAATTTTCTATAGCAAAACCGTTCCCGTTTCTTTTCATTTTTCCGCTCGAATAATTTGTTTAGCACTTTAGCCGGCTTTATATTTTTCGTTAACCACCTTCGTCTATACCAGAAGTCCAAAACAAACCAGAGCAAGTTCAAAAAATTAAAAAAAGGAATGCTCCGCTTCTCACGAATCGCACCAGACCTCTTCTAGGGTTTACAATGGACCGCTCGATTGGATCGCTTCTCAGATGGAAATGGTTGGTTTCTCATCAGATTGTCAACTAATTCTCGCTCTCAAGACACTTCAATCTGCATCTTGTCGTTTCCTCACAGATCGTTGCCGTCTTGCCGACATCACCATCACCAGTGCACACCAACCATTCTCGCTCTGAAATATAGTCTTAGAGGTAATTTGTTTACAAATCCGAGTCTGTTGATTCCGTTTTTAAAAATTCGAGTATGTTTGTTCATAAAGCTCTGAAGTTGATTTGGCATTATATATATTTACGTAAATCTCTGAACAATCCAATTCTAAAGTTGATTTCTCTTAAAGCTCTGAATAGTCCAATTCTAAAGTTGATTTCTCTTTCTCTCAATAGGGAGAATATCTTTGTTCGTGCTATGTTTTTATATGGGTGGGAAGATTCTAAGCTGAACATATTTGTCTGGAACCCTGGAACTATGCTAAGTGAATCATGTAATATAATTCTTTTTCAATTTAAGCTTTGTTTTTATAGACTAGTAAGACACTTTAATTGGGAATCAGATTATTCATAATATATATCATAGTATAGCTTTCTCTATTTCATTATTAAATCTATTAGGCATGGAGTGTATATCTTTTAAATTAATTTACAGTTTACACCAATGGAGTGTCCTAACAGTAACAGATTGTATAAACAAACTTCCCACCCTTATGAAAAAAGCTGCTTAATGAATAACATTGTACTATGGGCTGCCTGCTCAGATTCTAGGCGTGGATACCAAGCGACCTTTCAACAGATATGGTGATAATGATGTTGTGGTTTAATTCTATATGGAGTATTATAATTCAGGTTCAATTCCAATGTTCTAAGTTCTTTGTTTATTCCAGACCCCAAGTGGTAATGTTATGTAGTGAATCTGCTTGGTAGTGTTATTACTCCTATCTACCCCTTCCAATCTAAAAAAGATATGAGAGATTTGTTTTTCGCATGGCTTTCTAAATTTAAGTTCAGATGAGTCTGAAGTGCCAATTCACTTTTTGCATAGAAATGTATTATTAGTAAGTTAAAAATCATTGACCAGAAACGTCAAATGTTGTAAACTGGAACAAAGGTTGTAAAGCTATAAAAGTTATTAGATGACTACTATTTGATTTACTTCATGGCCATTTTGACAATTTAGGCATCTAGCAATTGCCTCAGGTGGACTGGCAATCATCTTAGTCTATAAAAATCTTTTTATTTTGGTAATATACGGCTTTGATAAGTTATCATTCCTATATGTATTTTTCAGATTGTTTTGTTGGTTCAAACCATTCAACTAATCTAACAAATCACATTTAACTAAGGGAAAATGTTAGAACCCTCGACCAAACGGTAAAACTAGCGTGTATATTAGAGAAAGAAGATGACGTAAACGAAAGAAATACAGAGAGACTTCGAGTGGTCTCAACACTCCCAAGTTCCAGTCCAGATCCAAAGTTCTACCTACCCTCTCCCTCTTCTATTTCATCTATTGATTTTTTTTCCAAATGAGGCTTCCCTCAATCTATCCAATTACTAGGCCCAGCCCACTATTACATTTTATTAAAATATTAAGCCCAAAAGTCCAGGTTCTGTCAGAAAATTACCTATTTGTACTAAAACAAATCACATTTAACTCTGGTGTTGTGTTTGTTGATGTTATATGCTAGTTCTTAAACGTGTTGTGAATTATTTTAATGGGCTGAGTTGAATGTGTCACGCCCCGGACCGCATCCGTGCCACGTAGACAACCGCCGTACAACCCAATAAGAACAACGTAGTTCATTCTTATTGAATCATACTAGGCGTCCGTTGAGTTCTATTGCCAAACCGATTAGTAAACCCATACAATCAACATCAATATATATTAGTCAACGAATGCGGAAAATAAGATATGTTTGATACTTAGCCACACGTGGCAAATACGGACACGCAGGCCCCTCAAATGTTTTAATGGAAAACATTGTTAAAAACATCCATGAGCAGTTTATAAACTTTGAATAAGAATGGAAGCACGAACCACGTCTTCCTCTTTGATCAATCACCCTTGGCGAAGGTGCAGGTAGTAGGACTCTAGCCTCAACCTGAAAAATGTGAGGGCCCCCGAAGGGGTCAGTACTCCATAGAAGTACTAGTGACAAGCAGGCTATATGAGGAATAACTAATGTTTCAGACACGAGACCCAAAAATAGGGTGATACATATGCTTATAGGTGTAACCATTGTTACCCCATTCCCAAGATAATACATAATGTATATACTTGTAAAATACTTGACCCGTAGGTCGTTTTATCACAAAGAGTCTTTTAGAGATAAGGTACTTTCCCAACCTATCCCCTTTCCATTCCTGAATGCCTAGCTTGAGAGCTACATTCTACCTTCATAATATCCTACCGAGTTTCAGGAGGGTTTACCGTCCCGGGGATACTCAACCCCAACCGAGTTTTGGGATCATTTACCGTCCCGAGGATACTCAACCTCAACCGAGTTTTAGGATTGTTTACCGTCCTGAGGATACTCAACCTCACCGAGTTTTAGGATTGTTTACCGTCCTGAGGATACTCAACCTCACCGAGTTTTAGGATTGTTTACCGTCCTGAGGATACTCAACCTCACCGAGTTTTGGGATCATTTACCGTCCCGAGGATGCTCAACCTCAACCTTAATTCTAACCAAACCCTAACCTGGATATGGCTAACTTTTCATTCACTTAACTATGGACAATACCTAGTCCTATAGTCATGTAATAATCCCTAGTGACCAACGTGGGTGGGTCCCACTTGAACGACCCACGTTAACCTGCTCAAAACTGCCTGTTTTGGGCATAGTACAATACCCGGTCGGGTATCCAACCTTACCCGGTCGGGTAGGTCGGGGCAGAAGCCCCTGGAACTGATTTTACTTTAGACCCGGTCGGGTCCATACCCTTACCCGGTCGGGTCTAGTAGGACAGTGGCTTCTGGAGCCATTTTTAGTCAATACCCGGTCGGGTATGTACCCATACCCGGTCGGGTATCACCTTTGCCTCGGCGGTCAACGCCCGTTTGACCGCCCAAACGGAGTCCGATCAACGCGAAATTTTATACGCATGTACTCCTTGACGTCCTTGATCCAAAAATACCATTTTGGATCCCTGGAGAATTGTACATAATAAGTTATCACATTTTTAATCACCAAACATACAAAACATGCTTTTCAACTATGTTTTATATATAACCGTGGCATAAGCCAATACTTGATTTACTTTAATCATTCCATAAGACATATACTTGATTACTTTAGGTAATCTCATGCCTCAATCAAAAGTTATAAAGCATATAGCCGTCTTCTCACCTTAAAGAAGCTTATGAAGTTCTAGCCTCCCTTATTGAGCTCCGGTGAAACTCCGGTGAACTTCAACCAACTCCGGCGACAACTCCGGCGACCCTTTCAACCCCGTGAAAGTTCTTGAAATACCTTATACAAGTTAATAACAAGGTTTTATCATCATAAAACCCATATCAATACAAACAACCTCCAAAAGGTTATTTTCCGGTGAACCCGTCAACTTGGCTCTCAAGGTTCGTTTTGGGTATAAACCAACCCTTCAACCCCCATTCTACACTTTTACATGTGTAGAACTATCCTAGGAGTGTGAAATGTGATTAAAGAGAAGGAATGGGATTAATGAAGTCATTACCTTATTAATCACAAGTTTTCGCACCTAAACTCCTCTTTTCTCTTCTCTTTTCCTTCCTTCTTCCTCCCTTGCTCTTGGTGCATGTATGGTGGATGAAAATGGAGTATTTCCAGATCTTTTCTCTCCTCTCTGAGTGTCTTGGTCGAGCCTATGGGTATAGGGAGTGATTGGGGTGTTTTTGGCTCCTCCTATGATGGTAAGAGGTGAGGGGTCCCTTGGAGTCAACTCTTGTCTCAACCTCCCCTTCCATCCTCCTTCCATCACACCAGCCGACCCCCTCTCTCATTTGTCTCAAATGATTTCGTGGGGTGGCCCCCACATGTGTGGGAGGTCATCCCTTTGTGTCCCCGAGTGTACACTCGATCCCGAAAGTTGTATTTTCCGGACTGTTTTAACTATATTTCATTTTATCGGGTAAAATGAAATATATCTCATCCTTCCAATTATTATTGGCTATAAGAATGAATGTATATTCCTCATCTTTAATTTGGTGGTCTCCATAATTTATTATGGCTTTTTATCTGATATTCCTTCGGTACCGATAAATGGGCTTTATATGCACAACTGGCCAACACGCATGGTTTATATGGCCCAACTTGGACATCCACCATCATATACATATTATCTAGACCCAGATGAATATAATATGCGGTCCCAATAATATCGGGCGGCCCCCACCTCTGGTGTGGGCCCCACGTGGATTTTACTATCCACGTAAAAGAATGATAAAAATTTACAATCGCGTAAAGATGA